CATTTCCAACGGCCTCTCTGGTGACACCTGTGCTGTCAGGGACTATCTGTGCCTTGAGAATCGCTGACCCAGATGATTCCGGCCAGCTGGCCCTGCCTCAACCCTGTACGGCAGCCACAGGACCAGGTTTCACTTCTACCTAAATCCCCCCACTTATGCCACCCATATTGATCCTCAGTTTCCCCCAGGAGACTCGAGGCAGAGAAAGAATCTGGCAAACATCTATATCCCCAGTGTCCAAGGCGGAACTAGGAGCTCAGCTCTGTGGACAAATGGAGGAACTGGAATGTGCGAGTGCAGTTGGGGTGGGGATGAGGGAGAGAGACTGCTGCCACAACCTGCCCACACACAGGCCAAGGTGTAACAACCGAAAACAGTCTGACAGACCTTGTGGATACCAAGCACAGGCAATTGCTATGTGGAGGCTGAGTAAATCTGGGGCTATGTGAACAGCAGGGGGCCCTAAGGGAAATGTAGCACCTGGTCCTGTTAAAGCAACTCCTCAAGCCCTGGGGTCAGCTCTGGGGGCCAAATACCCCAGAGTATTCCAGGGAACCATACAGCTAGATGTTAAGCCGCCCAACCCTCACAGAACCTCTTACTTTGCAGCTGGAGGGGTGGAGGAGAGAGAAAAACGTGGCTAGGGCGCTACTGAGGGGTTTCTCTTCCCTCCTAAAGAGGAGTGGGTTCTACTCTTCCCAGCCTAAATTCTGCTTGTTATTTATAGGTTTGCTTAATTTTTCCCTGCGATGCACAGGCCCTGGGAACAGTACGTTGCCCATCCCTCTAAAGCAGCCTCCAGAACAGAGCCTGCCATACAGGAAGCTCTTGCACATGCTTGCTGAATGAATGAATGAATGAATGAATGACAAGAGAACAGTGAATGTGATGGACCATAGGGCCCAAGGCCCAGACCAACAAGAGGAGAATGTGCAGATGGGGAGACAGTACGTGGTCACTGGCTGGGGCCAAACTGAAACTTGCGGACAGGTGTGTTTCAGGATTGGGGCATGTGCAAGACACCTGGAAGGTGAGGTCAGAGCAATGGAGCCTTTGACTAAAGGCCTCCAGGGGGAGGCGTTCTAGGCCCAGGCTCTGGCCATGGCAACAAGGGACTGGGGTGGCTGAAGGTCAAAGCTGACAGAGATGAGACTAAGACCAGGGTAACAGAGGGGGCAGAGTCACATGGACACAGTAATCCCTGGGATACAGCAGTTCTTGGGGCAGAACAGGCAGGGAACTTGGAGGAGCCAAGCCCATTGTGCCGGAGGGACCGGCCAGAGCAACCGGTTGGCAGGGGACAGAAGTAAAGTGGGCTGAGGATGGAGGCCCAGTGTAGGACCCAAGTGCTTGTCAGGGGACACCGCAGCCAGGAAGCAGCAATGGGGGAAGAAGATCCTCTATTTCTAGATCTTAAGGGGGAAAGGGAGGCTCACCTTCTACAGATGAGGATCTGGGGGATCCCTGGAGAGGGCCTAGTCTCACCAGGGCAGCGGGGCCCCGCCCTGCAGGAGACTGAAGGTGGAGGGCGGTTGTGGCCAGGGCTCGGGCCTCACTGACCCTCACAGAAGGCGGGGAGGGGGTGGACAGAAGGTCAGTGGAGGAAAGGGAGGAAAAAAGGAGGGAGCAGGAACATGGGTGTGCTGAGGCTTGTGGTCGAGGGTGCAGAGAAGAGGCAGGAGGCTGCAGGCAGGGTTCAGCCCCACTGATATCCACAGACCTTTGCCCAGCCCTCAGAGGCCTTAGGACGTGCCCAAGGCTGGACATGAGAATGAACACAGAAAGGCAGCTCCAAACTCGAATATGTGATTGCAAAAATGCACCTAACAAGCAAACAAAACCTCTTCAGCCCCCATTGGAAAAAAGACTAGAAGGAAATACAGAAAACCTTAAGTGACTTTGTACTTCTTTGTGCTTTGGCGCTCACTTAATGTGTGGTGAGTAAACTGCTAGGTAACAAGGGTAGAGTGGGAGACTTCTTTTTTTAGAGACAGGGTCTCACTCTGTCACCCAAGCTGAGTGCAGTGTTGCAACCATGACTCACTGCAGCCTCAAACTCCGGCTCAAGCCATCCATCCTCCCACCTCAGCCTCCAAAGTAGCACCTGGCTAATTTTTTAATTTTTGTAGAGACAGGATCTCGCGATGTTGCCCAGGCCAGGAGAGACATTTTTAAACAAAAGTAAAAGATAGCCTGCCCTGGTCCTGCGTGCCCCTCCCAGTCCCCTGCCCACTCCAGACCTTGGCTTAGGCCAGGCGGGCCTGATGACAAATGTTCAACTCAACCGTCACATCCCACTTTCAGGTTCAAAAACCTGGTCACCTGAAGTCCACTGCCCCGCCCTGCCCTCCCCTCAGGAAACACTCAGTCAAGTCAGAGAGACCATCATGCTCCCATCAGGGATCCCATAGGTGGGGGAGGCCTTGCTGACAAGGGGTATCTGGCAGAACAGAGAAACAGGGCAGGGGCGGGAGACTAGCAATGAGGCCAGAGGCGCTGAACCCAACCAAGGGAGGGCCTCCAGGGCTCCAGCCATCCTCCCACAACCCTCAGGCCTGGAAAGATCCGTGTACAGGAACATGATCTGCCCAAGGTCACTCAACTAGCAAGTGACCCTGCCAGAATCAAACCCAGCTCTGGCTGGCTTCAAATCCTATGTACTTTGGCCCCACCTTAGGACTAGGGGTAAAGTGGCTTCCTGGAAGAGGGGGCATCTGTGCTGTGGCTGTGACGCATCTGAGGCTCAGCATTCCCGGGGTGTGTGAGGCTTGGGGGGCAGGGGTGCTAGCTCAGGTTGCGCAGCCCGACCCCCCACTGCCCTTCCTTGGAGAAAACAGGGTGGAGGAGAGAGGCCCATGCAGGGCAACAGGCCCAGAGAGTGAGGGAGGACAACAAACAGGGCCCGGCCAACAGGGACAGGAGGGAAGAGAAAGCGCAGTAATGAGCTCCCCGGGGCCCACATCTCCTTTCAGGACCCAGGGGCTGTCATCACAGCAGCACAGGAGGCAGAGTGCAATTAGACAAGAGGGCCCAGACCCACCGTTTTCCCCAAAGATCCATGTTCCTGGAGGCCAGCCTCCTGGCCCTGGCAGCCTCCAACATCAGCCAGGCCAGGTGCCCCAACAGCCTTGGCCCAGAGATAACACAGGCCTGCTAAGGTCACACTGCATCAATGACAGGCTGCCAGCCTGTAGTCGTGGGTGCCTTCTGCCACTGACTAGAGGGGGAGCTGCACCAGGGAACCACCTGGCTTGGGACAGGACTCACCTAAAAATGACCAAGAAGGGACCCAGCAGAGTCAGGCCCGGCCCCACGAAAGGCCCTGGGAGGTCTGGGGCAGCAAGGCTGATGGTGGAGCTGCTGGTCAAGAGCTGGGCCTAACACTTTGGGGAGGAGCCCAGTTCCCTGCCCAGTTCAGCGGGAAGATTAAGCTGGGCCGGCTCTGCTCATGGGGCTCACCTCGAGGGGGCAGACAGATAAACAGGCAATTATAGGGCAGGGTGGGAGGTGGAGGGCCAGTCCTGCAGTATTCCCACATACCCCCTCCAGCCCTAGACTGAGCCCTGGGCTAGCTGGGATGGGGCTCTGGGGCAAGGGGCCCTTGTCCTGGGCTCAGAGAAGGGGGTGGGGGCCTGGAAGCTGGAGAGTGGAGACCAGCCCTACACGCAGAGAACAGCTCTGGGCGCCAACCCTCTCTGCACCTTGAGGCCAGTGAGTGAAAGAATCTCACGTGTGGCTCTCTGAAGCCCACTCAGCTCAGACGCCCCACAGATACCTACATCTTCAGGGTCCCCAAGAGTCCTATAGCATGCAGCTGCCCCTAAGTCTGCAGGGCCAGAGGCCAAGCCCTAGGAATGCCCACCTGGGGGTGGCTTTGAGAGGTTGCACCCCAGCTCAGGAGACAGTCTCAGCCTCGGCCGAGGACACAGCTCCCTCTGGTGGCCATTGGCCGCCCCAGAGGACGAGGATACAGGGCTCTGCTCCTGGGCCCCGCCCACACGGGCACACCCATGCGTTCTAGAATATGAGTTACCGTGACTCGGTGGGCACAGCCACTTGCCAGGCACCACACTGCGCAGGGCATGTCAAGTCCAGCAACTGGCTCCTCCCTCCCACTCCCCACGCCTGCTCCTCTGACCGCCCCGATTTTGAGTCACTCGCAGCCAGTTACAAAGCAACCAAATGGTGAGTCCGGGACTCCCACCGAGCCTGGAGGACTCAGAAGCCCTGTGCTTTTCAGCCCCGCGGCCAACCCCTTCCAGGAAGAGCAGGAGGGGAGGTATGAGAAAGGGGCAGTGACTCGTGTCTGCCAGGAGGGAAGCCTGTGTCCTGTCCTGCAATTCCTGCCGCTAATCTTCAGGCAGCCAGGGTCTACCTCCCACCTCCCGCGTCCCCAGCAGGGGGGCTCTGAGCACAAGATTTCAGGGTCAGGCTACTCAGCACTCCCATAGGAGGAAAAAACTGGCAGGACCAGAACCCATTCTTCTTGACTCAAGCCCTGTGGCCCTGGTCCTGAACCCCAGCAGCTTGGAAGCGGGTGTCATAGAACTGGAGGTTGTCTGGACCATCCCCTGAGCCACTGGGAAAAGTGAGGCCCAGAGAAGGACAGCGAGTGGCCCAAGTCACACAGCAGCCTACTGGCAGGGGTCTCCTGAGCTGTAAGTGGCATCTCCACGCTGATGTGCTGCAGGCAGCTTCCACATTTCACCAATGTGTATTAGGCTGCCGAACGGCTCTGGGGATACTGTGTGTCCCCAACAGTGGGGAAGGGACATGTCAGAATCGCCTTGGGAACTAAACAGATTCCCAGCACCTGCTCTGGGGCTCCCAGCTGGCAGGTGAAGGAAGGCAATTCTGACACTCAGCCAGTAAGGGGGACCTGGTATGGCCCCCCACCCAGCCCTGGCACAGGCTTCCAGAAAGTGTCACATGCCACACTTAGGCCACACTGTCAGGCCACATCCACATCCTCAGTGCCCCCGCCCTCCCCCAGGCCTCACCTTTTGCCACAGCGACTCCCGGGAGGCCAGGGACGAGCAGGCCGCCACAAACCAGCAATTGCCCACCTGGCCCTGGTGCAAGTCGTGGGAGCTGATGCCATCCACGAAGAGGCGGGGGTCCTCGCAGATGTCCTGCAGAGAAGGCGAGGGGAGGGCGTGAGGGGCCAAGGTGCACACGGGTGCTCCCACGGCAGAGGGAGACCCCATTATCATCACGGAGACCCACCTGCCTTCCCTCACACCCCTATGGCCCGGCTTCTCTCCCAGGTCCTGCCTGGAAGTCCCTCTCCCCTTCCCTGCCAGAGAGTGCTCCTCGGCCCAAGGGTTGCCGATATGGGAGGATGGCAGAGTGCCAGATCCCAGGCACCACCGTCCTCCCGCCCTCTGAGCTCCTCCCTGACCAGCGAGGGCTCTGTTCCCTTAATTCTCCAGCTCCAACAGTCGGCATTGCCCATCCAGCCAGCCTGACGAAGTGGGTGCGGATGCAGGGATGAGACAAATGCTAAAATCTCACATGACAAGCACAAGGAAGGGCAGAGTGGGGCGCTGATGGACCAGTCCAGCATGGCCCTTCCCTCATGGCTCCTCGTGCCCGAGGAGCTTGGGTTGTCACTCCAGCTTATAGATGAGGTCTGGAGGCTCAGAGAGGGGTAGCAACTTGTCAAAGGCACAAAGCATGCAAATGCCAGAGTGGGGCAGAAGTTCCTGTTTGATTTTCCATGGGGACTGGCAGACCTGGCCCAAGAGAGACACAGCCTGGCTCCCAGGTCAGGCAGTTGCCAGGCAGGAAACTGATGCAGCTCTCAGGCCCAGCTTGACCTATTTCTAGAAGCCCCTTGCTCTGCCCGCTAGGAGACAGCTAGCCCAGATGGGCTCCCAGCCCAGTGCCCTCTGCACCTGACCCTGCCTGAGGAGCAGGCAGTGTTAGAAGAGGGAGAAACAGGAGCTTTGGCTTCAGACTGAATTCTAGCTCCTCACTCTGCAAGCTGACATGCCGTGGAGACTCAGCTTTTTCATCTATAAAGGGGGAAGGGTAATTTCTACTTTTTGAGGAATCCATGTATGTAAGTGCCAAGGAGAGTGAAGGCTGCTAAAACGTTGGGTGCTGGGGGAGCTATGCCTAGCCTGCAGGGGTGGCCCCAGCACTGACAGATGCAGCCCGGAAGGGTGAGTTCACCCAGTGCTCCCACAGTGGTTAGCATTCCACCCCCAGGCCTGCGTGGGGGCTGTTGAGATCTCTGCAGGGGCGGCAGAAAGTGCCCAGCATGGAACCTAGTGCCGGTCCAGGAAGCAGAGTCAAGCACACACCATAGAACTTCCGAGCACCCTGTTTGCATGCAGTGTGGGTCCAATGGCCAGTGGGGCGGGGCTGGGCATGAGGAGCTTCCCTTCTCCCTGCCCAGTCCAGGTCTCAGTTTGGGGCATCCACGTGCCACCTGGGTCCAGCAGGCCCACCCCAAACCCCTCCTCCTCTCCCATCCCCATCTTTTTTTTTTTTGTGAGTTGGAGTCTCACTCTGTCAACCAGGCTGGAGTGCAGTGGCGTGCTCACCGCCACCCCAGTGTCCACCTGCTGGGTTCAGGCGATCCTTCCGCCTTAGCCCTCCAAGTAGCTGGAACTACAGGCGCACGCCACCACATCTAGCTAATTTTTTGATTTATTGTAGAGACGAGGTCTCGCCAAGTTTCCCAGTTTCCGTCAGCATCTTCACTCTGCGGAACTGAAAGGAGTGACTGCTCCCCAGGTGAGGGGTGTGGTATTTGGAGGGCAGGAGGAGACCAACAGGAGTCATGCCTCCCATGTACCAGGCACCCCAGCAATCCTCACCATGGCCCTGAGAGGTAGGAAATGTGCCCCTTTTACAGACAAGGAAACTGAGGCCCAGGGAGGCTGAATGCCAAGCTCCGGCCACACAACACGGGCAGGGCGGCCGCAGCCCCTCTGCCTGCCTCCCCGCCCCCAGGCGCTCCCGAGCTCGGTCTATCACAGCGCAGCTTCTGACGTACTGCTGCCAGTGGCCAGCAGGGGGTGGCAGAGGCAGGAAGACGAATTCGAATTCCCGCTCCCCATTGACACCTGTGTAGCTTTGGCTTCCTCACCTGCGCAAAGATGAACTGTTATCCCTGCTGGGCTGTGTGGACTCCACAGACCGAGGAGGCAGAGCACTTGGCAAGGGAAAAGAGGGCAACGGGCTCTCGGTTCCCACCGAGGTGTCTGGGACTCCGGCTGCCCCTTTGCCCAGGAGAACGCGAGTTTTAGACTCCCCAGGGCATGAGCGGCTCCTGAGACCCGGCCCTGTCTTCCAGTGGGCACTGCAGGACCAGCCAGGGCCAAGCTGTAGGTCTGGAGAACCCAGTGAGGCTCTCTTGTCCTGGGGCACCCTCTCAGGAAGCACAGGCAGGAAGAGGCTCCTCGCCCTTCCTGGCCTCCTATCTCAGCTCCCAGCCCTGACCCACACCCAGCCTCTGAGCCAAGGGAGCTATGACTTAGCACCTGCCTTTCCGAGGCCTGAGGGTGGGCAGGATGCGCTGGGAAGGGGGGAGACAGCCACTGCCTGGCACCACCAGGGTCTGCGGCGGGAGGTGACTCCACAGTGTCCTTACACTTCAGATCCTCCCAGCCAGTGCCCTGTGACAGACACCACTGCCCCATTCACAGACAGGAGGTCGAGCCCGGGAGGAGGCGGTGACGGCCAAGGTCACAGGGCAAGTACGTGGCCAACGGGACTCGACCCAGGTCTGCAGGGCTCCCGACCAGGGCTGCCCTCCCCACTGAGCAGCACAGCCAGGGCAGCCCTGCGGGGCAGATTCAGCCACCCGGCCCCGACACTTCTCCGATCCTCGAGAGGGAGACCGGGCTTGGAGTCGGGATCCCACTGCCCTAACGGGCTGTGGCAGAGCAGGGACCTGGGGCAATCATGCAGCCTGGGCAGGAGGACAGAGCAGGAGGCGGCCTGGTGTGCTCCCACTGCCAGGAGAGGCTCGGGGTCTCCAGCTGTAACCTGGAGAAACCGCCTGAGGTTGGTTGCTGGGTCCTAGAGCCCAGAGGCCACACTGGGGCACCTCTAAAAGGGACAACCACAGAAACAGCTCACAGTGACTAGGCGCCTGCTGTGTGCGGCACTGTGCCAAACAACGCTGCAAGATAGCTTCAGCATCCCCTTTTTACAGATAAGGAAACCCAGGCACAGAGAAGTTAAGTCACTTGCCAGGGCCACACAGGAAGAGGTGACCTCCAGGTGGGCTAGGATTTATGGGTGACAAAGACATCCTTCCTTCACCTGTCTCCCTGCACCTGCCCGAAGGGGGTCTCACCATGAAGCCAGGAGGTTGGGGAAGCCATGGGGTCAGGCTTCTCAAGACCAAAATTTGTCCCTCCACTTTTCCTGGGCCATGGGTGGGACATAGGCCACAGAGTGAGTCAGGGTAGTTCCCGCCCACAAGCCGGGCCCTTGAGAAGGAACCAAATTGTGACCCTCCGTGTGAGCAGAGCTGTGACAGCAGGAGTCTGAGAGAAATCAGAAGAGGCTGCCTGGAAGCAGACCAGGCTTGGAGAGTAGGCACGGAGGCTCAGGAGAGGAATGGGAACTCCAAATGTCCTAAGACGGGGTCCAGTCACAGCCTTGAGGTAGGTGCTGCCTCTGACACGATCTTCTTCTGGGCACCTGGCCACCTGTGCTCCCTTCCATCCCTGTCCATCCTGGGTTTGCCTTTGGGTGTCCCCCACAAGCTTGCAGCTCCTGGGCAGGGCCAGGCCCAACTCCGCCCACATGCAGGCTGCAGACAGGAGAGAAAGGGAAGACAACGTGGCACGCAGGATGGGACTGGATGGAGGCCCCCTCTGAGGGCTAGGGGCGGCTTCTAGGGTATGTTTCCAGGGCACAGCCTTCTGCGCCTGCACTCACTTCTCCCTCCCAGCCCCTCCCAAACCCTCCCAGCCTGCTGACCAGCTCCACCGCTGGGGGCCACGGCCCAACCCACCTCCCTTCTCCTACTGTGGTACAACAGGAAATTCAGGTTCTAGTCCCGGTGCACACACAGGAATGCAGCAAGACCACAGACTGGAGCGGCTCAGCTGGGCTGCACCTGCAGCGGCTCCTTCCACTCCCTGCCCTCCTCCCAGCTTTGTTCATTCATCTTCACCCCAGCCGCCTCCCTCCCGAAATCTAAGACCACAGGCAGAATCGATGGGACAACTGAGGAAACTGAAGCCCAGGAAGGCAAAGGGACTCCAGCCTGGGACGGGAAAGGGATTTACAGCCTGTGGCCGGCCAGCCTCCTCTGCAGCAGACCCACCGCCCTCCGCCCTCCCCAGCCCTACCCCACCTCCTTCCAAGCAGTCCCCACCCTTCAAGGACACCTCCTCCAGAAGCCTTTCCGGACTTGCTGAACTCAGCACATGCCCGGAAGGGGGTCATTCCTGGGCAGGGCGGACAGGTGTGCCCCTAGCTGCCAGGTCTCACTTCAAGTTGCCTGTTTCATGGCATGTGCTGAGTAGAAGCGCCTTCTCCAGGAAACGGGTCAAAGAGCATGAACCCCAGCAGGTGGGGTTGGGTCCATCCGGCTGCCTCAGGTGAATCCTGGGGTTTCCAAAACTGACATCTGTTCTAGGACCCCATCTGTCCTCTCTGCAGTCCACCAAAGGACCTCTAGGCCGATGTCTAGGTGTGGGAGAGGCAGGATGGGGGGATCTCCCACGGGGATGTCAGGAGGCCCCTACCGCGGCCCTGGGCCCGAGCCAGGAGAAGGCAGCTCCTGTCCGTAGCCCTTGATGCCTCCTGGGCTCTCGGGCCTTGAGACAGTCCCCATTCTCCTCATTCTCCTCGTATCTTCCCGGCCAGGCCCAGGGGAGGCCAGCGGATGGTTGCTGTACTGGGAACAATAAAATGAGCCGGCGAGGGGAGGGGGTGTGGGCCCAAGGCAGGTGCCGGGGTGGGGACTGAAGAGGACAAGCCCTAGTCCCATCTGCAGTGTCAACAGGAGATGGAACATCCCTGGCAGGGAGGCTCAGGGTCCCTAACATGGCATGGGCAAAGAGCTGGCGAGAGAGAGGAACGAGTGTCACCTGCCTCCACGGGTCTGGCACCACAGATACTTCGAGTCCTTTCAACCTCTAGGAACCAGGGCCAGAAAGAATCATTCTCCCCAATCACAGATGAGGAAACTGAGGCCCAAAGAGGAGGAGTGACTTGTTCAAGGAAGGAGGCAAGGAGACAGGAAGGCTGGCTGAAGAGGTCTTCCAAGACAGCGGCTGCGTGAGGACCAGCTCAGAGAAGGAGCAGGAGGGGTGGGGGGAGAGGGCTTCCCTGGGTGGTAGAGATACTCAGCTCTCTGCTCTGTTTGTAAACAGTCGGGTTACGGGACCGGGAGTGGGACTCCATAGCAACATGAGCCCTGCAAGCCAAAGTCCCATCTGCCGGCCAGGGTCAGGCGCTGGGGGTTAATGATCACCCGACTGGGCTGGGCCTGCCCACTGCTGGGCCAAGCTGGCTTGACTTCCTGTTCCACAGACCCAGCATCCCGCCGGTTGGGAGGGGGCCACTGCCCCAAGGGCCTGCCACCAGCCAGCAGGCACTGGCATGGTTTGGCAAGTCCACGCAGCGACGGGGACCAGCCACAGCAGCCTAGCCCACACGGCCTCACCTGCCACTGCTCAGCCCATGCCTGGACCTCCAGACGGAGGTCTCCCACACCTGGACCTCCACTGAGAGTCCTTTGGTGGGATGCAGGGGGACAGGTGAGGTCCTCTGAACAGACATCAGTTTTAGAAGCTCCTGACTGAGGATTGATCCCGCCATCACCGCCCCGTGCCACAGCCAAGCCGGGGCAGTTCTGCATGTCTAGGAAGGGCAAGGCGCCATGCACATGCCAGTGAGGAAGGGAATGAGGAGAAAAGGTGTGGCAGGAAAGGGGCTCGGAGAGGGTGGGGGGGGCTCCACCAGGTCACATGGCAGGGATCGCTGAGCCAGCTGGCCTGGTGGTTCCTCCTCTCACCTCACCAAGCCCAGCTGCCCCAGCAAGGCCTCACCAGCCTCTTTGCAGAGCTGCAGACCTGAAATGTCTGGGTGATGGCCAGAGGGCAGGCAAGGGTCAGGATGGGGGCAGCAGGGGGGTGGAGTGAGAGGAGGGCAGAGAGCTCAAGTGTCCACCCCTCCTGCCCACACCCAAGGCCTTACAAAGGCCCTTTGAGGCTGGCCTTCTTCCCCACCCACTGGACAAAGGAGAGAGAGGAAGACATGGGAGTGAGGCCTGAAAGCAGATCTCTTGTGGCCCAGCAAGGAGGCCCCTGGGCGTTCTAGAGAGCTGGTGCAGGGCTCGGAGATGCCAAAGCAGCTCTTGGGGCTGGGATCAAGGGTACCCAGGACCCTCTATCTGGTCTTGGGGGAAGGTGGGGGGTGTGGGGAGTCAGGGGGGACAGAGCCCGGGGAGGCAGGACCCCAAGGTCCTAGCCTACCCCTGTGAGCAGCTCACTGGGCAATCAGGGCACCTGCCTTCCCCTTCCAGCCTTAGTTTCTCCACCTCAAGAGTCCCATGCCAAGAAAGTCCACAGAATATTGAGTTGGAAGGACTTGAGACCATAGCCTAGAAGAGAAACTAGAAAACTAAATTTCATTTTTCCAAAAAGCCCAGGATCAGATGGAGCCTCTCCCAGGTTGCCAAAAATCTGTCTCTGGTGGCTCTCACTGCCCAGAGAGTGAGGGCCTAGCACCTCCCTGCACATCAGCCCCGGGCCTCCACGTGGCCACCTCTCCCCTCGCTCCTTCTCTGGTGGGCTCCAGCTGCACTGCCGTTGCCTTTGTGGGCCTGAGGGGCTACACCCAGTACGTCTCTGATCCCTCTGTGTCTTCTCCTGCATGGACCCTCCTGCAAAAGCCTCCCTCCGAGACACCTTCTCTATTATTTTTGGTTTTTTGTTTTTTGAGTTGGAGTCTCACTCCATCGCCTAGGCTGGAGCGCAGCAGCACACTCACGGCCACCCCTGCGTTGACATGCTGGGCTCCGGTAAGCCTTCCACTTCAGCCTTCCAAGTAGCCGAAACTATAGGCGCACACTACCAAGCCCTGCTAATTTTTGATTTATTATAAAGACAAGGTCTCGTCAAGTTGCCTGGGCTGGTCTCAAACCTGTGGGCTCAGGCAGTCCACTCGCCTAGACCTCCCAAAGTGCTGGGATTACAGGCTGAGCCATCAAGTCCGGCCTGCCTTCTCTATTATTGAGTAGCTGAAGTCATGACCTCCTCCCAGGCCTGAGTATCCTCGGGACAGCACAGTTGCCCACTCTGAAGTCCCCCTCACCCCCCCTCCCAGGATGACTCTCACTGGCACCCACATAGCCCCGGAAACTAGGAAGAGGCCTGGGGCAGGGACCTCCAGCAGCCTCCCCTCCACCCACAGGGATACCCACTCCGCAGGGCCAGGGACACAAGCCCCAGCCCACCCTCACACCCTCACATCACTGGGGTTCAAGAGTATGAAATCACACCATAAGACCAAACATTTCTGTGTAACACCCTTTAGCCTCAGGGGCCAAGGCCAGGACGGGAGAGCACCCAATAGACGTCACCCAGTTCATTGCTATCAATATTCGTGGTATCGGCTCCCAGTATTGTGTGCCAGACTTGTACAGACTTTTTCTTTTTTTTGAATTGGAGTTTCACTCTGTCACCCAGACTGGAGGGCAGTGGCATGCTCCTGGCCACCGCAGCCTCGACCTGCTGGGCTCCGGCAATCCTTCCGCCTCAGCCTT